GCTGGCCATACACAGACGTTATTGCGCGCGGTTTATCGTGATATCTGCAAAAACATATGGAAAATCATGTACGTGAGTGAGTAATACTCACTGAGTATCGCCGCGCGAAATGATAGAACGGGAAGGGATTTCAGACGTGCTTTTCTCTGGAGTGTGGCGTGTCCACACGCCACATTCCGCGTCACGGTTTACCTTTGCTTGGCAAAATTTCACGTTGAAAATTTGTACATGATCACATGCAGTTTCAAACGACTCGATAAATGACACTTTTTGGCCACTCACATACGATTTTTCCTTTGAAACTGATATACCACGGGCAATCACTTGCTAAATCATTTGAATACTTTATAAAGTGTATGGAACATGACGCTTTTTTTGCCATGCCGTTCTTTCGTGCATACTAACCGCTACATCTCAACATGCCACGATAAACCGCGCGCAATAACGTCTGTGTATGGCCAGCTAATGGAGATGCCAAATTTAAAAATAAAAAATTTCTAGGTAATAGTGTAATCGAATGAGAGCAAAAGCGGCAGCCAATACCGAGAGCTCTCGCCTAGGTTAAACGTAAGAGCTTTAAAAATTGCTAGGAGACGATAGAACATTGTTGTATTAAAAACATTTAAAAATCTTTTGGCCAACTGTATTTACTAAGTTGTCAAAAGCTTTCAAAAATGAGGTTATTAATCTATGACTTATAGGTACTTCAGAACGCCAATAGCTGGCCATACACAGGCGTTATTTCGCGCGGTTTATCGTGGCGTGTTGGGATGTAGCGGTTAGTATGCACGAAAGAACGGCATGGCAAAAAAAGCGTCATGTTCCATACACTTGATTAAGTATTCAAATGATTTAGCAAGTGATTGCCCGTGGTTATCAGTTTCAAAGGAAAAATCGTATGTGAGTGGGCAAAAAGTGTAATTTATCGAGTCTTTGAAACTGCATGTGATCATGTACAAATTTTCAACGTGAAATTTTGCCAAGCAAAGGTAAACCGTGACGCGGAATGTGGCGTGTGGACACTCCACACTCCAGAGGAAAGCACGTCTGAAATCCCTTCCCGTTCTATCATTGCGCGCGGCGATACTCACTCACGTACATGATTTTTCATATGTTTTTGCAGATAACACGATAAACGCGCGCAATAACGTCTGTGTATGGCCAGCTAATGTTTTAAAATAACGATTAGGAAAGGGCTGGGAAAAAACTCGCGTTGTCTCCCTGGCGTTGCGCCCACACTAAATAAATAAATAATTATCATTTCAGTATAATCATCTAAGGAAAACATTATTTATAATAACTTAATTTATAACCTAATATAATATTAATGACAGGAGTTTGACAGCAGTGTCACAATGAATTGGATTCCAGTGGACCAAATATTTTACATATTTTTTATTATCAACAATGCAACCTAAGTATCCTAGCAATTTAAAGAATTCCCTATGGCCATCTATTGGGATTGGCTATCGTTTTTTATTCTTATCTCGCTTATCCTTTGCGTTAGACAATTTTAATTTTCAAATATGTGTTTCACGTTACTTTCGGCACGTTCCGGTTTTCTATGTGGCGCGAGTTCTGGGACACCCTGTATATACAGTATGTCTCAGTATCTTGGAATCCTTCGGAGGGGACTTTAAGCCGTCGGTCCGTTCCTACCCCTAACCCGCACAAGCCATTCAGTTGGCTTCTGGGACATCTTAGTTTGGATGTAAGGGTGGAACTAAAAGAGCACAAAAAAAAAATCATATGGAAAACTTTTTTATTATTAATTTTAGGAAAAAAAGTTATTCTTCATAAAAAGTTCTACATGGTGTAAAACTTAAAATGCAACCCACAAATATTAATTATTTTTAGTCGTATACGAGGTATGTCAAAAAATATGAATTTGGCGCAAGAGTAAAGTACCTTTATATTTGACAATATCAAAAATTCTTATAAAGAAAAGTTAATCAGAACTAAAAACTACGTTTAAATATGCAACTTCATACATTTACATTAAAAAAAATATTTTTTCTTTTTTGTCTACAATATCAATGCAAATTTAACTGTAACATGTAATCTAGGATTCACTGATAAACAAATGATTTGTTGATATTCTAAAACTTTTTGGCCTGCTAGATCCCCTGACTTAACTTAAGGTTTTCATGTTTTTTCTAATCATAACAGATAAATGTTCATTTAAAATAGAAAGATTAGTAAAAATTAACAAAACCTAATTAATAATAAAAAAGTTTTCCATATGATTCCAAGATACTGAGACATACTGTATATACAGGGTGTCCCAGAACTCGCGCCACATAGAAAACCGGAACGTGCCGAAAGTAACGTGAAACACATATTTGAAAATTAAAATTGTCTAACGCAAAGGATAAGCGAGATAAGAATAAAAAACGATAGCCAATCCCAATAGATGGCCATAGGGAATTCTTTAAATTGCTAGGATACTTAGGTTGCATTGTTGATAATAAAAAATATGTAAAATATTTGGTCCACTGGAATCAAATTCATTGTGACACTGCTGTCAAACTCCTGTCATTAATATTATATTAGGTTATAAATTAAGTTATTATAAATAATGTTTTCCTTAGATGATTATACTGAAATGATAATTATTTATTTATTTAGTGTGGGCGCAACGCCAGGGAGACAACGCGAGTTTTCATTGGCGTTCTGAAGTATAAGTCATAGATTAAGGCTTTGTTATCTATGATAGATTAATAACCTCATTTTTGAAAGCTTTTAACAACTTAGTAAATACAGTTGGCCAAAAGATGTTTAAATGTTTTTAATACAACAATGTTCTATCGTCTCCTAGCAATTTTTAAAGCTCTTACGTTTAACCTAGGCGAGAGCTCTCGGTATTGGCTGCCGCATTTTTGCTCTTATTCGATTACACTATTACCTAGAAATTTTTTATTTTTAAATTTGGCATCTCCATTGCTATCGGCACGCCCCCTTTTTCTCTGTGGCGCGAGTTCTGGGACACCCTCTATATATAATAAATATATATTAAATCTTTTTTTTTTAATTTAGTTTTTTGAGATTAGGTGCTTCAAAAACCAGATTTTGAAAATATATACAGGGTGTTCCATAGAAAACTTGTACCCCCAAACGTTTTAACGGGTCAATGTGAACAACATTCCTTGGACACGTCAATTTTTATTTCTAGGGGGACGTATTTACGGGGTGCGGGTGGACCCCTATGCGCTACACCCCGCCCGTCGACAAAATCATAAATTGTTGAGTTGTTGAGTAAAATATCTTATTAAAGGTGTTTTAATTCTTAATAAGATTCTGTTTCAAAAATATGTCAGTTAGTTTTCGAAAAATTGCTATTTGAATTTTCAAATTAAGAGAAAAACCAAAAAATTGTAAATCAACGAATGTGTGGGTTTCATGGAGCAAATGTGGATTACTATTGCTATAAATGTTATGAACCACCTTTTAATAATATTAATACAAAAGTTTCATTCCCTAGTTGTATTTCCGCGGCTTTGCTCGCGTGGTTCTAAGAAAAACTGTTATTTTAACAGCTGTCATTTGTTATTTTAACAGATGTCATTTTGACAGTTGTCATTTTGAACGTCTGTTCTATTGCATGGAAGTTGGAGGAAATCACTTTAAGCATAACAGCTTTTATTTTTGAATTATCGACCTTATTTTGTTTTAACAAAAACAATTTTATTTTCGTTCGTTGATGTATTTTTTAAATGTTTAACACAAAAATTGTAGAAATTAAATTAACAAAAACATTTTTATTTTCGTTCGTTGATATATTTTTTAAATGTTTAACACAAAAATTGTAGAAATTTAATAAAAAATTGCAAGAAACTTAGTTCTTTTAAAATCCGGCTAAACCTAATAAAGGAGATAAAAAGGTTTATGTAAAAATAAAAGAAGTTCGATAATTCGAAAACAAAAGCCTAAATAAAAATATTTATTTTAAAAAACTGTTCTTAAACCTCTACGTTGTCAAATTTAAATAAAAACACCCTGTGTTAATAAATTTTACTTTTATTATTTTTAAAATAATAACCATAACAAAAACAATAATTATTTTATTTGCGCTGCATATATATTTTAAAAAATACATTGGCACAATGACAAAATACAAATCCGTAGAAATACTACCTCAAACCAATTTTCTATCACAATCAGTTTTAATAAATAGGCCGTCATAATTATAAATTTAATAAAACGCGAACGCGCTCCTCATAATTACATTGGAAGTTCCAGTTTGGAACAAGTGGATATCTTTGACGAACGTGACGTCATAAGGAGCGAGAGAGACAGTGCTACCATGCGCAATGGCATACCAGGTTTTCTTCCGTTCCGTTCAGAAAGTAATAAGTAAATTCTGATGTTTTCACATTCAATGTCAAACATTTCTTGCTATCAACAAATCATTTGTTTGTCAGTGCATCCTAGATTACATGTAACTACATTTGCATTGTTAAAAATAATGTTAATGGAAGTAATTGCATATTTAACCGTAGTTTTTAGTACTGATTAACTTTTTTTAACAAGAATATTCGATATTGTCAAATATAAAGGTACTTTACTCTTGAGTAAGATTCATATTTTTTAAAAAACCGCGTATACCTTCGACTGAAAAAATTTGATATCTGATGATTGTACTTAAGATTTTAGAACGTGCAGAACTTTTTATAAGGAATAACTTTTTTCATAAAATTAATAATACAAAAAGTTTCTTATGTTTTCCGGGATCTGCTCCGTGTTGTCGGTTTTTGGTTCTTAAAAGAACCGTATGTCTGACGAGGTTTCGGAACAATCTCATGCTGCTCTGCTACGAGTTAGACGTGGATTGAGCTCCGTTGCCGCTGATCGTGGTTTATATACCCTCTTAGCTTAATGGCTTCACGGATGGTACGTTTGGTCCTGTGTTAGATGCTAGCCAAGACCCTTGTTTTTATCAAAGTCAATTTCATGGAATTTTTTTCGGACGTGTTCAGCTAAGGAAGATGTTTTTTCTTGTTTTAAGACTGCGTTATGATGTTCTTCGCGTCGAACGTTAATACGTTTATTGGTCTGTCCCACGTAGCTTCCGTCACAATTCTTACAAGGAATTTCGTAAACCCCTTGTGCCTCCAACTCTATTTTTGGTTTGGAAGTATTTGACCGATCTTTCTTGGGGAGGTAAATGTGGTCCCAAAGTTATGTTTTTTGAGAACTTTGCCTATTCTTTCAGTTGTCCCTTTGACGTAGGGAAGAATGGCGTTCGAAGTTGGTTTGTTGTTCTCGTCCTCTATGTCCTCTGTGAATTTTTCGTTAAAATTTAAGAAATGCGCGTGAATCAAAAATAGCCTTTAACTTTTTTGTTATTAGGTTTGCAAATATAGGGTTGGAATTTTTGGAATCTTAAAACATTGTTTAAAAGATTTCATGTCAACTCTTAACATTTTTTAATAAATAACCTGAAAAAAACAGGGCAAATTAGGCCAACTTAAAGGTTAATAACTTTTTTATTTTAAGTGTAACACCCGGTATTTTTTTACATAATCAAATATTAAATTAAAATTAAAATTTAAAATATTATTTTGTATCAATGAACCTGTGACAGGTGAGTTGATGGTTACCACGTAATCTGTCATTGTTCAAAATTTAATGTCAATTTTTTAGGTTGTTATAAACAATTTGTTGACTAACTAAAATTTTTTGTAAACAAAACTACCTAGTGATAAAAAAGCAGTCAGTTAGTCAGGAAGAGCAACGTCTAATATTTTTAATTTTTTTTATTTTGTAATGTAAATGGAGGACACTTTAAACATTTAGTAATAAATTAGTAATAAAATATTGTTGATTTATTACAGTTAAGGTACGGTCTATCTACTGCGTAGTCCGCACGCGAAGTACGCATTGCGTTGTGCGCTTGCTGACTCCGCATATTGTGGTGGTCTATTTAGTGCGTACTGCGCAATTGGAAATTATTGTTATTTAATTTATTAATTTAGTTTTTCTCTACCATATATGCATGTACTACCGCTTTTATTAATAATTTCTGCAATCTCCCGCCATATATTATCTCGCACCATATTGTTTTTTCAGAGGCATCATATAGAGCAGGATGTCGAGACACGCTATCTATTAAAATTTCGTCCTGCTTTTTAGTGAATTTGCAAAATTTTTTTGAGTAGTCATAATAGGTATTTGCTTTTTTTTAATTAACAAAACCACGGAAATATATTTAAACTACTTCCTTCTTCCACGGAAATTTTTATAATCTGCTGCGGACTAGTCGTCGAAATCGCCCTCCAAGCAATAGCGACGCACGGACGCAACGGACGATTTTATTACGAATGCAGAGTGCGCACCACATACTATGGGGCACATAGAGCAGCCACATTAATAAACACACAAAGTGTGCGTACTCCGCGTGCAGACCGTACCTTTACAATTAAGTACGCATTTTTTTTGTTATTAAAATATTTCATTAAATAAATTTTATATTTTATTGTCTCCAATGAGCTAGTGCTTTATCTAGTTGACATCCTACAGCTTTGTTAAGTTTTTTTTTAAATTAGCAAATACTTTGTTGTATAACTTTTAAATTTTTTAAATGTTGTCACTGTCTGCTATTTTTTATCAGTAATATTGTTTACAAAATACTTAATTAGTTAACAAATTGTTTATAACAACCTGAAAAATGAACGCCATTAAATTTAAAACAATGATAAATTACATGGTAACCATACCGTATGTATCTTGATACCGTCAACTCACCCGTCACAGGTTTCTTGATACAAAATAATATTTAAAATTTTAGAAAATGTTAAATATCTCTGAAATTATTAACTTTGGGTATAGGGAATAGTAACATCAATCAAACGGTTTTTTAATTTAATATTTGATTATGTAAAAAAATACCGGGTGTTACACTTACAATAAAAAAGTTATTAACCTTTTAAGTTAGCCTAATTTGCCCTGGGTTTTCTTAGGTAAATTGTTGAAAAATGTTAAAGAATTGATATGGAATCTTTTAAATAATATTTTAAGATTTCAAAAATTCCAACCCTATATTTGCAAACCTAATAACAGAAAAGTTATAGGCTATTTTTGATTGACGCGCATTTCTCAAATTTTAACGAAAAAAATTAATCGAAAACTATTTACTTTAGGTATAGGACATGGTCTAGTAATTTTACTCAGAATTCTATGTAGAATTTAAAAATATAAAAATATATGGGGTGTTTTATTTAAAATAACAAAGTTGATGACACCAGTTAAACGGGAAGTGGCATTTTGTTTAAAATATTTTTAAAAAATGACTTAAATGCTTTTAAAATTTTAATTCGATATCTTTTTTCGTTCCCCAGAAACTTCTAATGGACCACGAATGTGAAACACCCTGTATGTATATATATATATATATATATATATATATATATTAGGGTGTTTCAAAAAAATCGACTTTTTGTATTTCTTCAAATGGTCGGCAAATTCTTTCAGAGGATGTCAACATAAAGACCTCGTCAAAATTTGAGCTTTTAATTTGAAGATTTAGAGGTCGCGGATCGCAATTTTCTATTTCCATTTAAATAACATGGGAATTTTTTTTTTTAACTTTGAAATTTTATACGTCTGAATCAAATCAACTTATGTCAAGGATCATCTTAGATTTTCATAGTAAATTTAACGCTCTACAAAAAAGGTCTCCTATCATTTTTCTATAAATTGATTCCTTCCAGAGTTATTCGAGGCCAAAGTTTGATTTCCATCGAATTTTCGCGTTTTTTTAACATTATCATTATACGGGTGTCCCGAAATCTGGGGGCCAAACTTAAACAGTGCATTATTCGTATAAAAATAACACTTTTTTTGTTTAATAAACATGTATCAAAAAATGCTCCCTAAAGGAGCTACGGCCCCCTGAATAGAAGCCTAAGAGGATATTTTTTTTTAAACTATTCCTAGACGGTTGAACATGAACAAATGAATTTTTGGTACTTTGGTAATTTTGACATGCTGAATCTAGATCTATGATCAAAACTGTTAAAATTTAATCATAGGCGTAACATTTGGAGGGGGCAAAGTTACAAAAATAGCCCCAACTTTTTTCTGGGTTAATAATTTAATTTTTTTTATGAAATTATGAGAATTTACAGTTTTGTACGAAAAATAGGTACTCTTGATTTGAATTGCTCAGATGCACCATTTTCGAGAAAAATGCATTTATAAATAAATTACTCTGCATATTATACACATCTAATATTTTCATTAAAACTTTGTAGTAGGCTTTGGAAAAAAGTGACGTTTTTTTGTTTTTTTTGTTTTTTTTTACAACACTTCCTATGTACCTTTACAATTAAGTACGCATTTTTTTTGTTATTAAAATATTTCATTAAATAAATTTTATATTTTATTGTCTCCAATGAGCTAGTGCTTTATCTAGTTGACATCCTACAGCTTTGTTAAGTTTTTTTTTAAATTAGCAAATACTTTGTTGTATAACTTTTAAATTTTTTAAATGTTGTCACTGTCTGCTATTTTTTATCAGTAATATTGTTTACAAAATACTTAATTAGTTAACAAATTGTTTATAACAACCTGAAAAATGAACGCCATTAAATTTAAAACAATGATAAATTACATGGTAACCATACCGTATGTATCTTGATACCGTCAACTCACCCGTCACAGGTTTCTTGATACAAAATAATATTTAAAATTTTAGAAAATGTTAAATATCTCTGAAATTATTAACTTTGGGTATAGGGAATAGTAACATCAATCAAACGGTTTTTTAATTTAATATTTGATTATGTAAAAAAATACCGGGTGTTACACTTACAATAAAAAAGTTATTAACCTTTTAAGTTAGCCTAATTTGCCCTGGGTTTTCTTAGGTAAATTGTTGAAAAATGTTAAAGAATTGATATGGAATCTTTTAAATAATATTTTAAGATTTCAAAAATTCCAACCCTATATTTGCAAACCTAATAACAGAAAAGTTATAGGCTATTTTTGATTGACGCGCATTTCTCAAATTTTAACGAAAAAAATTAATCGAAAACTATTTACTTTAGGTATAGGACATGGTCTAGTAATTTTACTCAGAATTCTATGTAGAATTTAAAAATATAAAAATATATGGGGTGTTTTATTTAAAATAACAAAGTTGATGACACCAGTTAAACGGGAAGTGGCATTTTGTTTAAAATATTTTTAAAAAATGACTTAAATGCTTTTAAAATTTTAATTCGATATCTTTTTTCGTTCCCCAGAAACTTCTAATGGACCACGAATGTGAAACACCCTGTATGTATATATATATATATATATATATATATATATATATATTAGGGTGTTTCAAAAAAATCGACTTTTTGTATTTCTTCAAATGGTCGGCAAATTCTTTCAGAGGATGTCAACATAAAGACCTCGTCAAAATTTGAGCTTTTAATTTGAAGATTTAGAGGTCGCGGATCGCAATTTTCTATTTCCATTTAAATAACATGGGAATTTTTTTTTTTAACTTTGAAATTTTATACGTCTGAATCAAATCAACTTATGTCAAGGATCATCTTAGATTTTCATAGTAAATTTAACGCTCTACAAAAAAGGTCTCCTATCATTTTTCTATAAATTGATTCCTTCCAGAGTTATTCGAGGCCAAAGTTTGATTTCCATCGAATTTTCGCGTTTTTTTAACATTATCATTATACGGGTGTCCCGAAATCTGGGGGCCAAACTTAAACAGTGCATTATTCGTATAAAAATAACACTTTTTTTGTTTAATAAACATGTATCAAAAAATGCTCCCTAAAGGAGCTACGGCCCCCTGAATAGAAGCCTAAGAGGATATTTTTTTTTAAACTATTCCTAGACGGTTGAACATGAACAAATGAATTTTTGGTACTTTGGTAATTTTGACATGCTGAATCTAGATCTATGATCAAAACTGTTAAAATTTAATCATAGGCGTAACATTTGGAGGGGGCAAAGTTACAAAAATAGCCCCAACTTTTTTCTGGGTTAATAATTTAATTTTTTTTATGAAATTATGAGAATTTACAGTTTTGTACGAAAAATAGGTACTCTTGATTTGAATTGCTCAGATGCACCATTTTCGAGAAAAATGCATTTATAAATAAAT